CATAAGCGTATCTAGCCGGCTTCACACTGTGCGAGGGGACACCAAAACGTTTAACATCTTCATGAGCCTCATCAGAAGACAGACATTCTAGCATCGTAAAACATATACGAGACTCGTTCCTCGGAGTATATCATAAACTCTAGGCAACTTTTATCACAGAACAACATAAATAATGGAGAAAATAACCGAATTTCCTATTTCAGGCAGTTTTGTCTCTTCACTGATACGTCGTTGACATTTTACTGCTAAAAGCTCTTCAGGAATTATTATTTGAAATATGCTATCATAGAATGAGAGGTATATTTCCGCTCAATAACTCAGGAGGAAAGTACTTTCCCCATCAAAAAATATATTTAAAAAATATATAATAAAATATATAAAACATATTTTTTTTTTTATATAAATTGAGCAAATTTAAAATATTTTTTTATATATTTGTCAAAATATAAATTTTTCTGTATAGGTTTTTATCTGTTTGAGCTTAAAAAAGTAAAGGATTTTGTCTTTCAATTGCACAGAAAAAAATATAATTCTGCCAATTAAATTTGTTCTAGATAAACAAATGCCCAAAATTTCCACACAGAACCTGACTATAAATTCTTATCTGAGAAAAATTTGATCGCCAGAATTATATTTTTTCTCAGTTTTTTTTTTTCAGTGTACAAAACTTTGTTATGTGCCATTTACAAATGCCCCTCATTTTTAACAAAAAAAATTGCGAGAAAGTGTAATAAATCTTGAAAAATTTCAATATTTCGAATGAAAATTACAATATTTTTGTCGAATTTTTACTTCAAATACTTAATTTTTTCTACACTATTGGAATATTTTTGGTAACTAAAATCCATTGATGACTAAAATGCATTTCCCATTAAGGGAAAAAAGTCAATAGAAGTTCAAGTTTTTTTCAAAATTCAAGTAAAGTTAAATTTTTTTAGCGGCAGGAAGGAAAATTTTTTACAATTTACATGAATTTTCAAGTGAAAATGAACATTCACTACCAAATTCCCTTGAAATTTTAGGGAAGCACGTTTAAAATTTTCGGAATGCAATTTTTTTTGAATGAATTCCCTGCAAATTCAGAGAGTCTGGAGAGATTTCTCTGAATTTTCCCGATTTTTCATTAATTTTTCCGGAATGATGAAACTGAAACTGTCAAAATTATTGTCAATGACAAAATTCCTTGAAATTTCAGTGGACATGTTACTTATCAGAAATTTCCAAGATCCTTGACATTTTTAATCGTGTAGAATTATAAGAAAACCAATGGAATGCTCGGTTTTTCGATAACGAGTTTTTCTGAAACTTCAGTGGAAATGTTACGGCTTAAAAATTTGCGCGACAGAAAACTCATACAGAATTTTCCAAACCAAATACTACAATTTTCGTAAAAATCCCTGAAAATCTAAAGACACCACGCACACGATTATTGAAATCCAAGTGTAATATTGAAAAAAAAAATCTGTCCGAGCAATTGAATTTCAAAAATAGTCAATCAGCGATTGCATCTCATCACTCGTTCCTCGATTCCCATCACTCGTTCTTCTCAATTTAATAACAATAAATCACGCTGATTGCTTCATCGGATTAGAATCGAAAATCACGAAACACATCTCTATATATGTATCACTCTATTCCCGAGCGAATCGCGTCTATCTCAACGTTTCCCATAAGCATCACCCAAAGCCGTCTAATCCCCACCCTCAATCACTCCTCTTTACCTTTAGATTCCCAAGTGTTTCTGCGCGGAGTAGAAAAGGCATAATCGTTTATTTCTCAGTGCCCGACCTTTTGCGATGCACTACGTCAAGATGTCAGAAATGCCCGACCCCGCCTTGGCGTAGCGAAGATGCACTTGGGAACGCTGTAATGGGCTTACAAAGCGTAACAAACTGATGCGAGGTCAAGCACACGACGGGCAATAAACACACGCGCGAAGATAAACGGCCTGAAGCTCTCTCGCTCACTTCACTCTGCATGGATTGACCCTCTCACTTCAGCCATTCTCCTTTTCATTTTTTTCTCATTCGTCCGAAAAAAAAGAAACACTCAAGAAATAAATAAAATGAGAAAAAGTCACGGAGGGAAAGTGTTTTGGCTGCTCTGTGAACCGTGTATATTGTGTAGTTGTGCCCTCGGGGTTGGGATGATACTCGTTGGTGCAGAAGAATGAAAGGAGTTGATAAAACAGAGGGGGTGATTTTAATGATGACAGATATTGTTAACACATTTTATTGTCTCAACGCTCTCTTTAGTTACAATCAGAGATGAGTAATTGGACAATTACTGTTTTTAAAATTTCAGGCGGAGAGGAAGGTTCAGGAAAAATTGAGTGACAATCCACGTCAACGTGGGCTGCCGTATTCTCGAAAAAATTCTTTCAACCTAAGGGAAAGGTGGAGTTTCTTTTTTAATTCAGACATAAAGAGAATGAAGTTGTGCATTTGACAGCATTTGAATTTCGTCTGAATTTTGCGGGCCAAATTCCAGAAATTTTTATCGTGTTCAAGTTCCACCGGAAGTTCAGGAAATCTTGTCATTAAAAAATCAAATATTCCATTGATTTTCTGTGGATATGATCTTGAAATCAGTAAAATACTTGATTTTTCAGTCCAATTATTCTGTGAAAATTCAGAAAAATCAGGAAAATTCAGGGAAAAATTGAAAATTCGGATCATTTTGTTTCTGAATATTCATGTTCCACTGAAAATTCAATCATGTGAAATTTCCATTTCACTCCCACTGAAAACTCATGAATTTCCTTGAATTTTACTTAAAACTGGAAACCTCATAACCATTTTTTTCTGAATCTGATTCAATGTAACTCTCATGAGATTTACTATATCTTCCATGAAATTTCAAAAAATTTCTAACATCGAAACGTCGCTGAATTTTTGTGACAAGTGCTCTGAATAAATG